TCTGAATCCAGTTATGTTTAAAATATTAGAATTATAGGCTTCGATAACAGTTTCAAATTAATAAATCGACTGTTGAATAGTTTATAGTGGAAATTATATTCAAGTAAAGTTCCAATGACGTCAAAACTGGTAATATTTCCTTGTATCAAGAAAGTCATTACTTCGAAGAATAGAAATACTTGTATAGTTCAGTACTAAATGACAATAATCCCACAATATGGGTTGTAAAACATGTTCACTAGATGATCTCAATCAATTATTGTCCATGTAATATTGGTTTTTCTTACGGAAGCCTGTTTATTCTCCAAAATGCTCTGGTACGGACGAGGGTGGGGAGTCCGCTCTCCCTCTCTAAATGCTTTCACATGGCTACGCTTATATAGACTCTGCCAGTGAAGCCTACTCACTACCTTTTCGCATCACGAGTGATGTTTACGAAATTGAGAGGACGAAAAGCGAATATCCGCAGCTATACCTGGTTGATGGACACGGAGAGTTCACCCAGGGGAATTGGAAAACCCTCATTCCAAACCAATGGTACGCATGAGCTCCAGTATCCAATCGTTAGTCACCATCTACCATGGGACCGTATCTCCTGACGTCGCTTCACTGCCTTGCGGATCAAACCACAAGGTCGAAGGCTCCGAATGTGACCCTCTAGGAAAACCACCTATTTTGATCTTGAAATCCGGGCAGTATCACAGCTCAAACACAAATTAAGTGACTTGTGTCTAGTATATGTATTCGGCGCATTCTTGTACCAATATTTTTATATTCAAATAAATAAATAAGACATATAGTCTATATGACAGATCCTCTAGTAAATCTTGTCTCTAATATCATTTAGAAATATCAAAATAATTCAAGAATATTCGACTTTTCCCAACTTAAATAAAAACCTTTTCTAAATGATTGCTGCTTTCAACTTTCAACAAAAGACATGGAATCTAGTTACTATGGAATGTCACTTATTATTTATTTGTCATAGATACTATTTCTTAACCAAAGTATTATATATTAACTAACTCTATACATTTGAATGGGAATTCCATAGGAAACTCTATTATTGTCAAATTGACTGTCATTAGTCTGTTTCGTGTAAAGAAAGAATTTGCCTAATGAATTCAATTCATTCAATAAAATAGAAAAAAAAAGAATTATATTGTTTATCAATAGTCTGATATTGTCTTATTCCCTTATTATTATTATTATTATTGGCTTTTGCCAACTCACGTCACCTATGGCGAAGACGAAATGAGTATACTGCGCGGCAGTCCGTTCTGTTCTACTTTACGGCGGCGAAACATGGCCTTTAAGAGTAGAAGATACTCGTAAGTTACCAGTATAAATATTGCTGGTGTCTGCTGGGATCACCGAGTAAATAATAGTGAGGTTAGACGCAGGGTATTAGGGAAGGATGGTAAATCAGTTGATGAGGTTGTTAACCTTCATCGACTGAGATGGTTGGGCCACGTGTTACGTATGCCTGAACACCGATTACTACGACGTGGAATGCTAACCGGTGTTGGATATGGTTGGAAGAAAGTTAGGGGCGGTCAAACCAAAACATGGCTTCAGTGTTTGAAGTCACTAACCTCTAGTCTGAGCCATGTTGGTAGATGCAGACTACTTGGTTGGGGTCCGCGTGACTTTCGTAACCAATGGTTGGAGACTCTTGATGACATGGCTCAGAATCGATCACAATGGCGTCGGTGTATACACTCTCTGTATTCCTTTAAACTAAGAGATTAAAATCACTTCATATCTTTCTTTCTATCAATTAATTTTTTCTTCCTCTACTTTATCCTTGTATGCAATCTTTCTTTTATATATTACCACCTCTGAGTTAACTACTTTTATGAATCCGGTGTCCATCTTGTTGTCTTAATGAGGTATGGCAACTTGGACCGATGCATATTTGTGCCTGGTCCTACGTTGTAGCTGACTGACTGATTATCAAAAGGGGTTTTGTGGAAATTTCACTGATTGAAATCATGAGTCGATTGAAGCTAGACTACCATGGAAAACCTGGAAGCATTTGACGGTCGTTTCATCCTAGTATGGGACTCCTTTATTATCAAATGATATTGTAGTGTGAATAAGAATACAAATGGGAATGATCAGATACACTTATAAAATGTATATACAGATTGTTTCAAACTTTATTATTCCAATCATTTCCTTTTCTCATTCTATTCTATGGAATCCTTTCAATCTTTTGTTATCATGCATTCTATTGTTTTCGATTGATATTACATGTTATATTTATCTGACGATATAAGTAGTATACACCACAATATAACTTCATCTGTTCTATAAACTAGGATGAATAATCTTTTTACATATATGTACTGTTTTTAAAGAAATTTACATACATGTTATACACCTTGATTCACAAAGTTTATAATAATGTTCATTATGAAACTAGACACACGGTTTAATGGATCATTTGATAGTAGTACACACTTTGAAACTGGAGTATGAAAGACATTAAAGAGGAAGAATCTATTTGTAAAATCTTAGTGAATAAATCTGAAGTGAATCTAGAACTTTAATTGATCAGTCTCTTATTGGTATATGTGCATACTGTGCGTATTGCCTTAAGTTACAAGCATTATAAGCAAAGATGGATGATGCATGTACATCCAACTGACAAGAGCCAAATAGGATGAAATGCATGTCATAGATTCCAATGGTAACAGCTATTCATCTTCACGTTGACAAGACTGCACAGAACAAATCACGACATTAAGGATCATCGATAAACAATCAATTGGATGGAACTCTTCACCATACATCAACTTAATTGATTATGAGGCATTTAGCAGTGTGGATAGGAGAACATTATGGAACATTGCTCGACGTCATGGTGTACATGAGAAAATCTTCAACGTCATACGGAATTCCCAAGACGGACTAAACTGCAAAGTCGTGAGTGGATGATAACTGACAGATGCATTCCAAGTAAGGACCGGAGTCAAACAAGGCTGTCTACTCACCCTCTTCCTGGTTCTTATGGTGGTTCACTGGATTGTGAAGACCTCGACATCTGAGGGAAAGGGCCGAATAAAATGGACAGCTCGGAATCAATCACAGGAATTGCACTTAGCAGAGGATGACCTGAACCCTTCCCTATCCCATACACACAAACAAATGCACATGAACACAACTAGTGTAGCAACAGCCTCTCCATCACTACCACTCAACATACAGAACGCAAAAAGCAAGATCCCCAAATACAATACAATACAACCCAATTACACTTGATGGGGAAGCTCTGGAAAATGTGGAATCTTTCACGTGCCTGTTAAGCATCATCGATGAACAAGGAGGATCGGATACGGACGTGAAGACAAAAATTTTCAAAGCAAAAGCGGCATCTCTTCCTATAGCCCATGCTTTATTTTTACTTCGATCATTTTCATCTGATGAATAAATCAATCTATCATTCAGCAGGATTTCAATTACTTGAATATTTGAGGGGAATCATCAAGCTCTATTTGGATTCAAATCCATTATTTCCGGCACTGATACAGTAGTGAATTAAACCGCTTAGTCACATCGCAACTGACTGAGCCAGCAAGTGACGTGATAGTAATAAACATTACTGTATTAATAAATGGCACACTGGGTATCCTTGGAAATAATAATTTCATGTCGATACATTTCTAGTTTGACAAACAATCTCTACCACAAGACCAAGTAATTGATAACAAGGTACAACTTACGAAAACTACAACTTCAGGCTTCTTAATAGAAAAAGTATATATCCTACATCAAAATACATACATGACTCTACAAGATATTTCCATAACACTTAGAAATAACCGAATTGCTAAAACATCTCAGCACATTTGCTAAAAATAGATTATGAACAATCTCCCAAATTCATTCTCTTCCTGGATAATATCTTCCAATTCTCAAACTAAATTATGTCTTCGTCTTTTACTACTTATTATCATTAGGTAGTTTGAGATAATTTCAAGCATTTCTTGCCAATGCTAATTATCTATCGGGGCCGGATTCCAATTTACTAATTCAACATTTTCTACCAATGATTGTCTCTATCTTTTCTCATAAGTGTCGATTGATTATTGAAGCTTCATAGATATTTATGCTTTTGCACAAAATAGTAAATATTTCATTTCTGTCGGTACTCAAAACATGACAATCGTATGGTGTTTATTCTGACAGGATACATTCTATATGAATGTGTACCCAGCACTTGGATACTTCATAATATGAGGTTTATATATCCGTAATATTTATTTTGATTTATCTAATAATACTGGTTTGCAGGATATGTTGTCTTCTTATTACAGATTGTTGAATATAACACGATTGTTGGGTTAGAATTATCACATAAACATACCTAGAGAATTGCAAAGCTGAAAGTGTCGGTTGCGACATAACATTGACATTTTCAATTATTTAATACGACCTAGATTATTTCTAATTTTTCGAGGTGAAGACAAACAGGAAAATAGTAAACTAATGAAATTGACCAGAATCCTTTCATGTTTATCATTCAATTTGGTGCCACTGTTGGTATTATTATTTGTATGCATAGTTTCTAGAGACACTGCAGTTTAAAGTGATAGCTCGAACCAACACATATATACATAGCCAGTTGTAGTTTACCGTTATCTGTTTCAGTGTCAGTTAAAAGGCCAACTGTATTTCTGTCATTCAAAGTCATTTCCAAGTTCACAAAATAATTGACCACTGTGGAAACATTCTACATGACATAAATATCGGATTCACAGAGATACTGTAGAAAAATATCTCAAACCAGTTAACTTTAATGTTAAGGATAGGGCTTTTCAATAGAAAATTTGACAACTAAAATTTCCATCACTCATCCTTAACTCAAAGCGGTTAGGTCACTGACGGATAACTGCCTTACACCCGACATGGTTAAACTCTACTGGTCTAAATCGATCAAAACTCGTGTAAGCGCATAACGAATTTTAGATACAAAATTATTTTTAGAATAGAAATTATTGTTGGTTTAAATGATTGTACAAAATTTTAGCACCAGATAAAGGTGATATTTTCAAAGTTTCCACAACAGGATTCAAAGCTTCTTTGAGTGCATTACAAACCTCCGCATCGCCAAGTTCCCACAGACTAAATGAGAACACAAAACAAAATTAAATGACGTAAAAATATGATACAATATATACGGTTCGTAATATTTGATTGACCAGAATTATGGATGATACATAAGTATGATCCCTAAATTGTCACTTTATTACAATTCAGAAACCATAACCTTTTATATATCCATCTACTAACCAAAGGATGAGTTTACTGTGTAGCAGTTTGCTCCGTCCTATTTTATGGGCGTGATTATAACGAACAGAGGATGTTTTGATAATTTGATCTCGTTATGGTCATATGGTGCAACGAATTGAAAGGATACTCATGTGTCAGATTCTACGTCGCTTATGACTATCTGGAAGGTTAGGAAGAATATAACCTATTAACTGTTGTTTGGAATATTATATAATTATGGAACTTGAAAACAACCGAGAGTATTTTGGTGTATGCTACTTATGGTGACAGATATAAGCAGTATGTAGCACCAATCGGAAGTGGAATGCCTGTCAGTAGAAGATTGAATTAAAGAGAACAGGGGAGCAAACACAGAGCAATTGTAATAACAACAGCATTGAAAGAATCATGAAGCATATAAAGGATAACTGAAGGAAGATGTGCAAATAACGTATTTAATGTATGCTTTTCAGATTTTATGAAAGCACTTTGTAATTTTGTATTAAACATTAATTGGTTTACCTTACCTGAGTTCCCGTTCACTACAGTACTAAGAAATCAAAGTCTAAATGATTGTCAATAAAATCTGCAAGTAATTCAGCTGTTGGAACTATCTAGCCAAATATAAGCAATAGTAGGAAATCCCCTTAACACCACCAGCTACACATAAAAAACGTCACAAGAAAACCTATCGAAAGTGTAACAGACCAGCCAACTTAATCAGCAATTATAATCACTACAAAGTTTGTTTTCTCCAAGAAAGCACATAGATGTTTAACAGATCAGTCAATCAATCTTAAACTAGATAGGACTAAATACAAATATATATCAATCTAAATTGCTAACTTCAGCATCGGCACCTGTTAGAGAGGGATAAGAAAGTGATTCAGAGGAAGGAGAGTAAAGAAAACATCTCCAATCAACCATAGATTAAGACTGGTGCACGGGGCCCAACATAGAAGGTTACATTGTCTGATACAGCTCAGATCAATAGTTAGTGATTTTATTGACTAATGTATCTTAGTATGACCAACGTTAGCATTTTCTTATCGTACTCATATGCTAGATAGACTAGAGTAGTGATCGAGTATGTGTAACCATTTTAATCAATGAAGGTGTTCAAGACTCATCAACTTAGTTAGTCTACATCAACACTACATATAACAAATCTCAACAGACCGATAGGAGAAAAGAAAACATTTCAGGCCATAAAATTAACCTTCAAACGAACCAGCAACGTAAAAGTACCTTGCAATGAAATAATGTTAACTTACTTTACTAGAATGTAACAAGTACGATTACACTTGATCCAAGATTGAAAATTTTCGGCTGGAACACGTTTTATAATGAGTCGAGCAAAAGTAACTATTTCGACAAAAATATTTTTTAAAAAAATGCACACACAGAGATAGAGAAACTTTGTACTTAAATATGATATGCAAAACTTTATAAGTAATGAAATCAAAAGTGGAACATTTTACTTATTTTCAAATTGATAACAGATTACTGTTCAATCAGGTAATTAAACAAAACAAATACTTAATTATGCCTGTCAATAAATGGTTCTACAACTGACTAAACTGCGAAGTTGTGAGTGGAGGATAACTGATAGATGAATTCCAAGTAAGGACTAGTGGTTTACTGGATTATGAAGACCTCGACATCTGAGGGAAAGGGCCGAATAAAATGGACAGCTCGGAATCAATCACAGGAATTGCACTTCACAGAGGATGACCTGAACCCTCCCCTATCCCATACACACAAACAAATGCACATGAACACAACTAGTGTAGCAACAGCCTCTCCATCACTACCACTCAACATACAGAACGCAAAAAGCAAGATCCCCAAATACAATACAATACAACCCAATTACACTTGATGGAGAAGCTCTGGAAAATGTGGAATCTTTCACGTGCCTGTTAAGCATCATCGATGAACAAGGAGGATCGGATACGGACGTGAAGACAAAAATTTTCAAAGCAAAAGCGGCATCTCTTCCTATAGCCCATGCTTTATTTTTACTTCGATCATTTTCATCTGATGAATAAAACAATTATGCCTTTCAATAAATGGTTCTACAACTAATTCAGTCAGTCAATTAGCTAAAACATTGGAACGACACCAGTTCTTAATGTCAAGCCAACTTATCTACTGATTGTACAGTATTTCATAAATCATGTAAAAAAATCTTTTTGTCTTTATTTCCTCAGTTATAGAATTAAAATTAAAAGTTTACTTGAAGTACAATAATTCTCATTATTTATCAGTTTACTAAAGACACTAAATTTCAAAATGAATATAATGACTAAATTAAGCATTTGTAATTTGTATTTATTACAAATTAACCTCAATTTTAGTAACATGGAAAACAAGGTAGTACTGAACAGCTGTTTCATCTTGATATAAGACTTCCCAGCAGCACTCAGTTATTACCACGGAAGGTATCACATCTTCGAAATTAAATCTTGTGGTCGACCCTTAACCGTTAGACGTACTGGGTCGATGTCCAATGGTAGAATCTCAACGTTAAACGATTTGCAATACGGTACAATGGTTATTCAGCGACATTGATTACAACTGTTCTAAACTTCATGTGCCTGAACCCCACCAGTCGCGACATCTCACAAGAACTCCAGGAATAACTTGATGTTAGTAACTAGTGAGGTGAATAACATGGTTTGCGTGAATAGGTCCGGTGGAAATTGGTTTAATTTACAAGTTGTAATCATTACATACTGATCTCGGTCGGGGTACGACTGAAGATACCTGAAGGTCCTGAGTTCAATCCCTGAAAGAGGGTCATTATTATATACTATAAAGGAATCCTACACAAGGACGAAACAACTGTCAAATACTCTATAGTTTTCGATACTACACCGAGATTAATCTGTAACGAATATAACCTACAACTAAGTAAGTTAGTTACATTCATTCTCACTTAAAATCAATGTTTGAATGATTAGACAAACATAAAATAAATATGTTCATTTACATTATACTAGTAACTTAGAATGCTGATAATCAACAATAAAACATACAATCTTCAGTCGTTTTCTCCATTTGTAATAAACGACGTATCAGATATGCACCTTCAGGTCGTTCAATAAATGGTTTCGAACTAGATTGATTCATTGTAAATGTTTCATCAATAGACATATGTTGATTAGTCTCTTGTTCCTCATTATCGGATAATGATTCTCTCCCAGTGAAAAATGATTTGACTTTCTAAAATTGATTAAATAAACATTATTTTAGAAATAATTGGTTTGAGAATTGAGCAGTCGATAAAAGAAACAAATAAATATATTGTAATTATAAAACAATCATTGGGGTAATCGTTTATTGGTCACAACATTCGACTTCCCAACCGTTAGGTTTCACGTTCGAGTCCTCAAACCCCACCTAATTCCGCTTGATTCCTCAGGTAGTATCATTAGTTTGCGCGAGACTGAAGGTCCCTAGTTCGAATCCCGCGAGCGGGATTGAGGAGTCCCATAATAGGACGAAACAAAGGTGGTTTAACATCAATCGGTTCATGATCTCAATTAAAAAGTATCATTAGTTTTCTCACTTAGAGTGTAGTTTTAAACTTGAATACATGAATCTTTACCTGACAAATAAGTTACATCATGGAAAAAATAATTGAATTCTTTCATGAAGCTACTCAAGAAAAAGCACATCTAATAGTAAGCGCTGATATTGCTCAAAATGGCAATGAAAACGAAAAAAATATTCACAATTTCAGAAATGAAACAATATCAACAATAAACTGAACTTTCGAAGAAGAAAAAAGGAGTTGCCAACAAGATCAGAGAGACGAAAATTTATGAACGAACTAATGAAATTAAAAACAGAAAGTCTTGAATTTCAATATGAAGTTCTCTTATCTATATGGTTAAATAGCATTTTAGCATTATAAGTGAACTCCGTTCGTAATGAAAACTTTAACTCTCAGTCCTAACGCCGTTTTTGACCCTAGTGGATTTGCTCAAGGTCACTTTAGTGTCACTTAAAGACCAGCTATCAAATACAGTTTCATCATAAGATCATTGATTAATGCAAGATGATAAGTATTTAGTCTAACGTTTGGAAACTTCAGTTATTCATTGGTTTAGTATCTTATTCTATTGTATTTGGATAATTTTTGTTATGAATTCATTCAGTTTTGACATTTGTTCAGTATGAAATAAATATGATGGCTACTATTTAAATAGAGTTAGTAATCACCGGAAAAACTAAAGGGCTAGATCAGATGGTGGTTAGAGGTAGTCGACAGGAAACCCTGGACCCGGGTTTCATGCTACTTGGCACTCGTCAGCAAGGTGTACCTGTAATCTTGAGGGAACTGGTGCTCCCTGACGAATTTGATCCCGTGTCACCCAGGTAGACTTTTTCTACTTATTAGTTGAAAATCGTGTCGAGAGTATTGGCGATATAGTGTTGAAGAGTACTTATATGCCCTTATTAATTGCATGAATGATAGGATACTGAAAAATCAAACTTAACAATCAGGTCATAATTGATTGGAGTGAGTGACCTACAAATTGATTTGCTTCGACTGACTATGACATCTTATCATGTATATTTTGTAGATAAAAACGTAATTTTATTACTCAAAAGATCAATTCTTCAGGGGGGTGCCTATTAACAAGGTTTTTACATGAACTGGAATTCTCACTCTAATTAGCGGGTAGGGAAAAAGAGAATTGAAGTTGGAGTAACAAAACATTTAGCTAGTGCGTAAACGTATCAATGCACCCTTACGCCTACTACTGAGTTGATATATTCGAAATATGTAGCTCAGAGTAGACCAAAACAGTCGCGTCCAGGCTAATTTACAAGTTTCAGATCAAACAATATCTAGTTCAAATCATAAAAATATTCTAATAAGATCAAGTTATGGCAGTATAAAAAGTAAGAATGAAAAATAACTAGATAAATAGAATTATGACACTATAGATAGTGATCAAATATGTTCATGGAAAATTACAAAACAACATCGTTTTGGGGTTGTAATCCAATGCATTTTAATGTAGAAAAATGATTACAAAGACAAACTGATGAAAAGAAAAAGGATCTAATTTCCTATTCAAAAAACATAGGCACATAAAGAGTTATTTGTAAGTGAATTTGACAGAAATTGCGGAAATTGATCTTATTATAGAAAATCTTTTGTCTAGAAAAAAATTACCATTTTAATCAGAGATGAATCGTGGTTAACTGTGGAATCCAGGACGCGTGTTTCGTCTTATTTGGATCTCTTCAACTAGGTGTATCTGCATTTTAGAGTTGTTCACTCCTGCTTAAAAAGATTGTGACTTAGTGGCAATACATAGGCAATTCGTACAGGATGAATATATATCAAAAAGAGACTGATCAATTACAGTCCTAAACAACAATAAGGAGATTCAAATGACCAATACAAAAATGAATTAGAAATTACCATTATCATGTAAACAATCAAGTCTCAAGTATAAAACGAGAACACACATATAAACCAAAGAAAACAAAACAAACTAACTAACTGGATTCTTTTGTTTAGCCAAATAAGCTTCAACTAATGAAACTGCTAATTTATGCCGAGATAAACGTAAATCATCATGATTTCGTTTCTGTGATTGTTGATGTTGTTTCGAATGAGTTTTTTCCTCCTTATCATCATCATCATCATTACCAGTTGGATTGAATTCCGGTACTAAAATATGTGTAACAAGCTTTTCTAAAGCTAATTTTCTTGATGTTTTATAAAATGATAAATCTTTTGGAGAGATGGTCCAATTTCCAAATTGAACACGTGTATCATCATTTGTTCTCTTATACATTGGAAGTACAATATCTACATTTAAATTATGTGGAGCGCTGAAAAAAAAGGAAAAAAATTAACCTACAGTAACCCATTGTGAAAGTGATTTACCTATTTCTAGACTCAATATGTTATTCTGTAAAAAAAAAAAACGAGTATACACAATGGAAATGAATAGTTTTGCTCGTTTTATTATTACGTTTATGCCGTAAAGTTAGAAATACTACTATACTCAAATATCAGTAAGCATGTCTAGTACGAAAGAAAACATTGACGAAAGGTAAATACTCAATCGGTGTATTCATCAGCCTAGTTTTTATGAGCCTGCTGTTTCCGAACTCCAGGTAGGCATCAATTGATTTCCGAAGCTAATGTTTTAAAAACTATATCAATGAAACTGATTCCTCCGTGGATATTACACGAGGATTTAATATTTTCTTTTAAAATGAGACGATTATCGATTGAGATCATCTAGCTCCTGAACTGTAGTTATTATAGCAGTCAGTTGAACTTCCGGGACTAGGATTCTATTCTTAAATACTTCTAGAGTTAACCTATCAAGTCCTTCTGCTCATTATTTGAGGCTAAATCTATTATTACCAGTAAAAGCGCTACAACTGAGGTATCCAAATAGCGGACTGTCCATCTACTGAAAGTGATCCAAATAATATGCTTCTCATCGAGTAAATATGATTGATAGAATTAACCAGTGTAGTGATTGATTTTTAAATCGTAGCTGAATAATGAGAACGTCAAAACTTGTTTGTTTTGTACGCTGATAAAACTTGACTTCACATTCACCTGTACGTTAAACTCCTTTCATGGACACGAAACCCTCTTTCTGAAGCAATCCGGCAATTTCTCTAGACGTCAACTTATAAATTACGGTTCAAAACCAAATACATGAACATGTGGACAGGACCTAAGTTAAATCTATTCAAAAGATCATTAACATGGCTGATCAGTTGTTGGAAAAATTCGGTGATAGTAGATATTGGAACTATGAACGAAGTCGCAGAAAGTTAAACAACAATTCGATTCAATTGATTTGATTATACCATAAACAACTCTAAAATCACAAGAGAACATCAATTCAAACAATTTCCTGTTGCAAGCTCTCCATAGAAAGCAATATATGTTAATAATCAGTTTCTTTTCATTATCAATATGATCAAAATATACACAATTATGAAGGTAAGTGATAAAAATTAATGAGGTTTATTAACAGTTTAGTGATAAAAACTGATGAGTTAGGAAATCATGCATGAATGAAAATATAAAATACCTTTTCTCAAGAATTTCACTCAAAAGAACAAGACGACCCAAATCTTTACTTGTTAATAGACCAACTTCACTTAATGAATGACCAATAAATAAATCGACCAATTTATGATTAACTAAATTAAGTAAAGCTGGTAACATCATTGATTGTAATTGGCGCATTTCCATTGCACGTACACCAAGTAATTTCTTTGTATAAATGCTTGTATCACCCGGAACTAAGATACTATTAATTAATTGAGGACAGAAATGACGACGATCCCTGGGAGATAACATATATAGTAATACTTTACGTGCATTAGGATGCATGACAAACAATTCTAAATCGTCTAATATTTCCTACAATTAAAAAATAGAAAAATAAATTCGGGCAAAACCATAAACAAAAACTTATTTCCAAGTGACGGTGTTAAAACCTCTATCAGAGTAGATAGTAGATACAATAGTAAAATTTACTGATTTAATTCACATAAAATTAAATATATTTTCGCACCGAAAATAATAAGCGGTATACAAATAATTTTGTGTGAGTTGAGATATTGACAGAGCGCAAAAAACGAGGTATGTAGTCTTTAAATAGGCTACCCCCCCCCCGAGCCTTTGATCGAGAGGCCTAATCTACGAGCCAGGAGAACGTGAGGATCTGACGTTGCGTGGTAGTGAGTGACCAAAATATGTACATATGGCACTAGTTCAATCAGGATCCTGTAGCCGATATACACAACTGGTTTAAAACCAAGGTCTTCCAGCCTCCTTAGGCAGATCCACCGTATCCATCGACCCGGTCTAAGCACAGAATATACGCTTTCTGTCCTCTCGTTTCTGCAGAAACCACCTTTGATGCATGAAGTTAGTGAGTAGGACTTCCCTAGCAGATGTCTTAAACACAACCTCGACAGTACCCGAGCATTTGAAAAATAGTAAAAAAATGATAAAGAGGATACAATTTAAAACGAATGAATCTACAAAATAAAAAGTATGAAATTCTATCAAAACTCAAGATATAAAGAAAGATAACGAATGACTGTATGTATAAATATAGGTATGGAAAGTTTTGACGTATATAATCTAAAGTTTCTAACCATCGATCACAATCATTGCATGGATCCTGGATCCGTAGTCACTTAAAACAATTATACTTACTCCCTAAAAGTATACACTAGGATCTTTAAACCAAACTGGTAAGAAAAACAAAGATGCAACAATAACAATAATAATAAGAGCAGTTAATTTAACGACCAAAATCTAAATAATTGATCTGAACGCAGAAAATAATCAAACAAAATAAAAATATATTCGACTAAACCAAACCACTACATTCTTCTAATACATTTTTATATTGTTCGTTTAAATCATCCCATTGATATTAACGACTGTAATTGATCAGTCTCTTATTGGCATATATTGTCTTAAGTCACAAACATTGTAAGCAAATATGGATGGTGGCTAGCAGTGGAATCCAGGACGCGCGTCTGGTCCTATTTGGGACTTGTCAGCTGGATGTACCCGCATTCCAGGATTGCTGTTCATCCTTTTGTACAGAGTATGAACTACCAGGTGGGAAAGTCGTTTATTCTGGAGTTCAGTACATTCATCACATGTAAACTCTCATTAGTCTTAACTGAAAACGCTATCAGTATAATCAACCATGTCATCAAACAAATAAAGGAACTGGCACCGCTACTGAATAGCCAGTATTCATCAGCAGATGAATCACTAGGAATACCAGGCAAACATATTAATTTAGTCATGAACTCAATTTCGGATCATGAAAACAAAATGCGAACAGATATGATTCCATATACACACCCAATCTCTTTTGATAGATTTTCGCGTCATGGCTCCAAAACTAGTAATGTTTGTAAGTGTAGTATTGACTATTGTGATAGATGCAGTAGTAAATCTGACTATACATCAGTTGCTTTAGCAAGAAAATCGATTCTTCCATTAGTGAATTACGCACCAGAAAGAATAGAGTTGTAGGCGAAGTACATGGAAGAAAAGATATAGATCACATGTCAAGAGGAATTAGTCGGAAAAATTGAGCTGTATCTTATGATAAAAACTCAGATTGCAGACCAGTTTGACGATGAGTGAAATCTTTGGAACTACGGAGAAATTTCAAACTAGACAGTTGAATATAATTCAATTAACATGACTACTTCGGCCAACGGATAGAAGGAATTAACCGATAAACTGAATTATGTGGATAGTGATCAGATCTGAAGAGTTTGATGAATATTCAGTTATTCTTATTCCACTAGCTTCACCTGACGTTGAAACCAACATAACTAAAAGTGTTACCCTAGATGTAAAGGGTGGCAAAATTTCTCGATTGGAGGTTAAAATGGTAACTGATTATAAATTAAGATCTAAAAGCAATATCAATATCGTTTTCAGAAATGATGTCATTAGATTGTGGTTATTGACCATTGAAAAGGGCTTCGGTAATGATGTGCTGATGCGTATAACATGACTGCTCGGTCAAGAAAAAAGCGTAACGACTAGCAAAGAATTTGGACTCTATCACCACAGAGTATTAGTTGCTACAATTACAGTTAATCAGAAACTATGTTTGTAAGAAGTCGACTGTGCTGTCAATTATCATATGCTTGAAAGCAATGAAAGATACTTACATCACAGCAATGATACTGGTTTCGTTATTTATTTGGTGACATAATTGATTATGATGAGAGTGCGGCTAAGAATAATGAAAGTTAATTGTATTTCTGAGTCTATGAGAGAATACAGAACTGTCCCATCTGATCATTTGTATTTTATGCGAAAAAGCGTAGTTTTGCTTAATCGAATAGATTTTAGATTGTCTTGTGTGTCCAGACCAAGTATTCCAGTTCTGGTCATTACAGAACTCAACAACGCCACTTGCCAAATATACAGTCGAAATTTCCTTTGGTACAAAATAACGTACTGAGCATCAACAGGAATACTCTTAAAGAAATGAGATCAAAATTCTGTCTCCAAGAATTAAGTCAAACTACAAACGTTTCTAAAAGACATTCAAAGAAAAACAATAAGCAACAGCTCTACACCGTAACCCTGAGTTCAGTCACACGAGACCTAATTAACAACGATCTGACATCACACAATAATAAAATAAAATAATAACAACCAAACAATAGAAGTTGAGTCAAAGGAAACTGAAAAATATGGAAAATATGGCTACACAAGTCATCGATCAAAATTAACATATGAAAAACAGGGAGGGAAATTCAAGGGAGAATAGCAATACTATCAAATAAGACGATTTGGAGGAATTTTCAAAGAACTCATCCTATTACAGTGAATATTATGCTCAAGATTAAAAGGGAAATAAGAAGACAATGGATACGCCAAAGAATTTTTTAGTGAGTTCTCTAATTTGGTCATATATCAGCTGATAATCAAGTACTCAACTTTGGAACTACATGTTTTGTGTACGATAGTGATAATATGAGACAACCAACAGACAGAATTAGCTAAGGAGGAGTTCGAACGTGTAACCTAATGGTAGAAAATTGCATTGGAATCATAAACAGATCTAAATTAGACCACCACTGCAAACCTGGAAGTACTGGGTTCAATTTCCGCGTGAGGGTTCATGGATTCATACTTCTGAGGAGCCCCACACTAGGAAGAAACAATTATCCAGTACTTCTAGGTTTTCAATGATGGTCTAACTTAAATTGGTTCCTGATTTCAATGATATCCAACAATCTCCACAATCCCATACTGAAAAGTAGAAGATTGAATAAATTATCCACTAAATTATTGCTTTAATACTTGTTGTATATAAGTGACAAAATATTTAAATCAAAAATAAATTGATATACTCAATATAACTCACTCGAAATATTGTTTTCTGTAATAATACAATATCATCCACTGAATCGATTAACCCAATGATAAAAAGATGTCCATGTTCATTAAACGCAATATTTTGTACACAGGTTTTCAAGCCTTTAACTAAAATCTTACGTTTCTGAGGACTACATGCCCAAAGTACTCTTAAAGCAGCACGAACACCATCACGAGTATGTAACATTGGCACTATTTGACCATCGATTAAATTTTCAATCAAAGTCGTAAAATTATCATGGAACGATTTAGGAATAGCATCCTCATCTTTACAGTCAACTGGTTCATCAACTATATATGGTACAATTGTTTCGCTTGGTTGAGCTGTATGCATACTAGTTTTCACATTAACAGGTATTGACAATGCTTTGGAGAATGATACAGCATTCCGTAAATACTCCAATAATAAGTGTTGGACAATACTGTATTTGTTAAGACCCCTTAAATATAAATGATATAAAGTAGTGAGAAGAAAAAATAAAAAGTAACATAGAATGATAAAACCCGTGGTGAAGAAATGACAAGTTTTACAGGTTGAAATCATGAGTCAGTTGAAGCTAGACCACCATTGAAAACCTGGAAGCACTGGACGGCCGTTTCGTCCTAGTATGGAACTCCTTAGCAGTGCGCATCCACGATCCCGCACCACGCGGGGCTCGAACCCAGGACCTACTGGCTTCGCGCGCGAGCACTTAACCATTAGACCACTGAGCCGGCCTGGATGCTGTGGATGCGCACTGCTGAGGAGTCCCATACTAGGACGAAACGGCCGTCCAGTGCTTCCAGGTTTTCAATGGTGGTCTAGCTTCAACTGACTCATGATTTCAACCTGTGAAATTTCCTAAAATTCTCCACAAAACTCATTCCAAATGACAAGTTAGCAAAATCTGGAAATTCATATATTCTATCTGATTCGCATGATAAACTAAAGCGAAACTAATCCATATAACAAGACTATACAAAACGAATGAAAGCAAATGAGTAAACTAATTTCATTTTATTTAAACTAAACATTTAATCGCTAGCATGCTTGAGAGCATTGTATGGTTAAGTTTACCTAGTAGTTTCAACTCACAGAAATTGCATCCACGGAATATATGATACGAGATGTTCATCTCTTTGTCTAAAAGTGAGTATACTAGGGTAACAGTTCGTTTTATTTTAATTTGTGATTGTGAAACAACCTTTGAAGATGAAGAACACGTGTAGAGAATCAATATGAAATCAAGTCTTCAGAGCATTGTTTAGTTATGGTGTTACAACCAGATGAACACTGCTGAGTTTATACACATTTTTCCTATTTCCGACTTTGTTTTTAGCTCGCTGGCTGGTAAGAAACAACTCAATTTTATTTTACTAAGCAATCAACAACACTTTGGAGTAAAGATTCGCCCCCAAATGCCCTGGTATGGCCAAGAGGGGGAAGAGTCAACTCTCCCTCTCCAAATGCTCTCACATGGCCACACGTATACAGCCACTGCCAGCGAAGTCCTACTCGCTACCTTCTAGTGGGGGTCGTTTACAAATTGAGAGGACGGAAAGCGAATATCCGGCGCTTCAACCGGGTTGATGAATAGGGACGATCCATCTAAGGGAGTTCAAAAACCCTCATTCCAAACCAATGGTGCACATGGACTCCAGGATCCTGAGTGAACAAATGGCGTATGAACCAATTATTGGCCACCGGCTACCATGGGACTGCATCTCCTGACCTTACTCCACTGTCTTGTGGATCAGACCTCTGGGTTGAAGGCTCCGAATATGCCCCCCCTAATAAAACCACCTGCTTCGGTCCGGGCACCCAAGCAGTATCACAGCCCACACATAAATCAAGTGACTTGTGTGGCGCATATGTATTCAGTGCCCTTTGTACCAATATTTATGTTCAAATAAGTAATAATAAAATGGAGTGAAAATTCAAACGACAATGACAATGTGGCAGTTATTGTCAAAGCTAGACATCCAAATAAAAAAGCTTACACTGAAGCCTAGACAATCGAAAACCACTTAATACTAAAAAGATACAATGTAAATCAACTTACTTTGATACCAAATTGATGAGTATCTTTGTAAGATTGTCAAGTATCACAGTACTTTTGTCTGGATGCAATTTTAACGTATCTTCAAGTGTGAATAATTTATGTTCAGCAAGTCTCAGAGCATGTCTATTCCCATAAAACTCTTGAATCATTTCACTACGTTGTGATGCAGTGGCATAGTCATTATATAATGTATCTATAACTTCTGATGCAAATTTATGTTGAGTTAAACGTTGAATGCGATTTTTAAAGGCCTAAAGATCAGAAATGTTGGGAATAAAAGTAATCTTAATTAAAATTATGGTTTTTATGATAGTGATAATAAACTCATGAGAAACATTAACCAAATGCTTAAGATTATATGACGTAAACCACTTGAATTTAAGTCATTATTTCATATGCCCAGATTCACACGAGTCAGTCGTGTATAATCGACAGAGAGACTAGCATAAATTGAGTTTATGCCAAGTTATCAAACAAATCAGTATGAAATGGAAACATCAAAATGAACAGAAAACAAATTGAAACAATAATGATAGTGATAAAGAATGAACGTTGAGAATGTGGTTTAAAAAGACAACGAAAGGACATGAATGGAGGAAAAATAAGTCTCAGGATCTACAAGAAACCTATTCTGAGCCGTATCCCCTAACATCTACAACCGCTGGTCGCATACAACTTAGTCCAACAATCAATGACTCTATAGACCAATAGTATGTCTTGGTTTGGCCACCTCTAACCTTTTTCAACTTACTTTACTCCAGACACCAATGCATTCACTTCAGGATTGAAGATTCATCCATCATCCGAAACCAGAAATTTACCCATGTCTTATATTTTATATACCGTTTCACAGCCACAGAGTAACAAAGAGCGGACTACTCTCCATTATACTTACTTTTTGATTAACAAACAGCATATCGCCAACGTTACATGTAATACAAGTTGACGAAAGCCAAGCAGGATTTTTGAACCCGTGAAGTGATTAGATCGGATACAGGATAACAACACTTCCAAATGAAGTGATCAAATTATTCGTTTCTTATGATCAGTTTAGTCACATCCCCTAACCTATTTTGAACTGTATAGACAGATAGTATCATTAATCTACAGATAACGGGTAGAGCTTTGCGCCTAGTAAACGGGCTTACAAGTAGCGTTTTTTATTCTTGTTTCTAAGTCACTTCAAATTTAGTTAATAACTTTCTTACTTTGACTATAAATAACAATAAAGAGGTCATCTTCGCAACTAACACTACAGACTTACTGAAAAAGATATGTCATATGATGCTTTTATATAGAGGGAACGTGGGTATTGTTAGAAGTGGAATACGAAATATCGCATTATTTTGTAATGTTCCTAGCTTTAGTTTAATGGATTGATTGAAATCTGTGAAACATATACTTGACGAAAGCTAATCATATAATTTTTCTCGACAATGATCGATCATTGTGAGATAGACGTATTAATCCTTTCTCTTCATCAATAGTTTTGGAAATAATATTATTTGGCATACATTTTTTGTATTTTATGTGCTCTTTATCTTTTTCCCTTTATTTTAGATCTATGATACAATTGGGCACTATTATCTTCGTACTTTCATTCTTCTTGTCAAGTTTGTTTTGTCGAGTTGATATGAAGCATAGTAGATCGAACTTATGCGCAATTGTGCCAGTCGCTGTTTATATATATACTCAGAGGACGAATGTGTACAAATAGGATTACTGAAGCTACAAAACAAGGCTACTTAAAATTATCCAAGTGTAAAGTGGTATATATTATAAAGACCCGAAAAGTATGGTCTTTGTTTATAGGAAGATTAATCGATAGGATTCTGATTCTTTAGCTTAAATTTCTTAGTGATAAATACTTTATTCTTCAGATTATCCAGGATTAGTAACAATATGAATGCCTATTAGTTAACTGTGCCCTAGTTTGCATGACTATATTTGTAGAGAAATCTTAATGGATTCTTACCTTAAACATCTCCAGTATGTATTGTTTGTCACCGTACTTTATTAGTTTCAATATAACAAATTTTGCATAGCGTGATTTGGCCAGCATCACCAAATTTGTATGAACTTCACCGAAAATTTGCCAACGTTGTGACTCTGTACCATATTTAACACAATCTTCCAAGATTCTTGATGTATCATGAGCCATACACAAATCAGGTATGACTTTCTTTAAAAGAACCATAACACAATTCACTTAATAGGAATAAGGTTGAGATGTGTATACTCTCAAGAAAATCCTATGATTAAGTAGTCAGACAATCGCAAAGTAGAATCTGGTACTTACGTACATCAGTCCACGTTAGAAAAATGAAACAGTGAAACTGACTGCTGTTATATTAATGGCACTAGACTTCTCGAAATTATAAAACACTCAACTTGAAAATTATTTCAGAATGATGGTGTTGGGATATTCAGGAAAATATCCCAAAAATTATCCTGTTAAGCCTAATGCTATCCTTGGACATGAAATGGTATCATCTTATTGGTCAATATTTATTTAACGTGTCATTTTCCTGTTGGCCAATATTGTACAATGTTATTTTCTATTTTATGGTACGTTGTGGTCTGCTTGATTGATATATAAACAGAGTATGTGTGAAATATAATGATTCATAACTCAGAGGCTGTGACTTGCGTTCTGGACTCAACTGGCTGGGTTAGACAGGGAAGCGGGGCCAATCAGAACCCTAGGCCGTTCTACGTTATTGTGCGTCTTTGGTCCGATCAATAATTCGCTACCCCTTAATCAGCAGCATAATTTTCACATTATAACAGATGGTCACACTGACTTCGTAGTTTACTGCAAATAGGGAAACAGCAGTTTAAATACCACTCACATAATTTAACTAAATCACAGGAAACAAAAAACTAACACAATTCTACTAGGTCAGTCAGACGCAACGTAAAACCTGGTATATATGTACATCGGTTCAAGTTGCCATACTCCGTTACCATAGAGAGATGAAATTGTTAGGCAAAATGCCACAATAGTAGAGGTAATAACAGTATCAGTGGTTACAGAAAAGGCTAGGCATTGAAGATGCAACTCAAGAAAACATAAATTAGTGAAACAAAAAGAATTAGAGGGATCCAGAAGCTTAGAATTTGGAGGAAGACAAATAATGCATGCATCTGCACTATTGCAAACGATTTTGAGTCATGTCATTAAGTCTCTAACCATAGGTTACGATAACCACGCGGATCGTGACCAGTGAGTCTACATCGGTTGACATGGCTCAATCCCAATGTCAGTGACTTCGTGAACTGATGCCATGTTTTGGTTTGGCTGCCCCTAGGTTTCTTCAAGCCTACTCCTATGCTATGACTTTAAACCCGGCTAATTATCACGTGACATGTTCGCCAATCGGAATACAACTTATACAACCTTATCACTGTGCCAAACCAATGACGTTCGACCGGTGTGAGCATCATAGCGTCTTTATTGGTCCTTTGTTCCCCTAGCACGTCCAGTTGAGTTCATAACGCTATTAACAGCTTCCACTATGGGAATCATTTATTTCAAACATACCTTGTTTATATACAAGCCAAACGGACCATAATAAAATAGGAAATAACATTTGTACAAGTTCAGGCCGAAAAGTGGCTGTGAACGTGGGAGATTGTAATCAATAAACTGAACATAACTTGGGAACATTAAATCGTATTATATTAGTCTATAAGTCAAAATGAAGCTTATAATAAGATGAATACATATATACATAATCGTTCTATGATATCGTATGTGGTTTGTTAATACATTTAAACGAGTCGTGTTTGAAGCACGAGGAGAGGGGACCACATACGATATCATAGAACGATTTCTAGATGTGTACCAGACGACCCCACATGACTGACTTATTACCAAACTTCAAATCCCCTGTTGAGATGCTTATGGGACGAAAGCTACAAACAGTTTATAGTGCGATAACACCTCAGCGACTGGCCCAGCAAAGCCCTCAAATGCAGAATACTCGAATTCCTTACGAAGTTGGTGCGAAAGTGTATGCGCTGGACTACAGACACGGATGTGATAGATGGAAATGAAGTCACAAAGAAACATGGGAACGTCACGTATGATGTTAGGGTGAACCAAGATATCTGGACCAGAAATCATAATCAACCAAGGCCAAGGGAAGCTAAGGAAAAAAGTGAAATTATGAAACGCGTCGCACTCGACTTGCTATTGGATACTTTTCAACTTCCTTCAATACCTAGAACAGAGACAACGGAGTCACCTACTCAAGCAGAACATCCTTCAGGTTCTGGGTGTTTACCTCGAAGGTGGTCGGATCGCAAACGAAGACAACCAAAGAAACCTCAGGTAAACCCTCGGTTGCGTCGCCATTAACTTTTTCCAAAGGGAAGTGTTAGGATATTCATAAAAATATCTCAAAAATTATACTGTCAAGTCAAATTCTATCTCTGAACGTGAAATGGTATGTTTTCACATGTTTCCAGAATTTTCACACATTTCACGTGTCATTTTCCTATTGGTCAATATTCACGACAGTCCTAACTGTATAAATATGCATTGTCTGTAAAGCATTGTGATTCTTCTTCTGGGCCCATAGACAATTTCCATCTAACGGTTCGTGTTCTGATATATTGGAGATTAGGGAACAGTACTGCGGTCGTACAGGGATATCTGGAGTTGGTCAATCTGTAGAATGTCGAGTAGCCACATCGCGGTTCACACTGGTCCCAACAAAATTTGCTGAAAATGATAGGACAAGACAGATAGTCATATGCAACACAGAACCAGTCACCTATGTCCACCGGTACAATTCCCTAAGTAGCATCTAGACAGGAAGATAACATTACCAAGACAAATACCAAAAGAGGATTAGTATCAGTGAAAATAATTTGAAAGGATATCAATCCGCAGAATAAGAAGTTTAAAATAATTTTAAAGCTCGGGATCTAAAAGAGGCAGAAACCATTCATGCCACTGAACAATACCAACCAATGTCCCTAACCATCGATTCCGATAATCCCGCAGACACCAGATAATCTGGACATGACATGGTTCAAATCAACAGCCAGTAAATTAATGGACTGACCGCATGTATTGGTTTGGTCCCAGTGACATGGAGTGTTGCTTCATAATTAAAATGACAGTATAAAACTTTCTCGAATTTACAACATAGACCTATCATAGTAAAGCTATTAAAAGTAGCTAAATAATATGCAAAAAACCCACACTAAATACTACATACTTCAACTACTGTGTACATTCCATTTAAAAATGCTAAGATATTTACGCGATGAATACAACAGCACGTAGTAAATAGTGATATGATTAATGTGTAATTACAAATAGGTTGGAACATACTATGTGTCACAAAATTAGAAACAAAACTGGAGATCTACCGTATGACGGAGAAATCTGAGATGAAACTGACTAAATAGACTACCATTTTGTTGAATTTTATCACGTCAATTTCTTTTCGTTCCATTGTAAAATGATTAAGATTTCGGTCACTTATCATTTACAACCTTTCCCGACCGTTGTTGCTACCTTGATGAGGTGGTCGGGCTTGCCTATCGTGATGAGGCAACCGAGCTATACTGGCTGGAACAACCGTTCCTCAAGGTCCTACCATGTCAGACAGGTCGGTTGAAGAGCGGTAAGACTAAAAGCAACAAACCTAAGGTCCGAAGGCGAAGTCGTACTGCTGACTGTACAGAGGTGTGACAGCAGTAAGGTGTTTCCTTCAGACAACCAGCATGACGGCGATGCTGCCTTCCCACAAGGAGGGGTGGGGTTAGAAAAGGTCGACCCTAAAAATGCACACCTCGCCTTATCCCACGGATATCCGTCTCCGGCGGTAAGGTCTCAACAAGTACGGAGCTAACACAAAAATCACCCATAAAAAGGTCGTGTGTGACCGACCTCGAACAGTTGTCTCTTGGGCACTGCGGTCACGCTCTTAGGTCACTAAGACCACCTCTAATTCGATTTCCTTTTCAGGTACCTCCAGAAGAACCCTTCCACGGTGTGGGCAACCTGGAAGTAATAACCGCCCTTATACCTCTAACAGCACTCAAGACCACTGTATTCATAATCAACCTCACTCTTCAATTCCTATTATTCCTCCTACATCGACTTTCAACTCTAAATTTCCTCTTAGGCTTCATAGCCAACGATTCTAGTGCTCAACACACTGCCCCAGGTCTACTGAAACCTCGCTCCAAAATACACATTGGAGCCTTCAACGTACGAACCCTATGTCAAATCGGTCAGCAGGCTTCCTTGGCTAAAACCCTAGAGTCTCTTACCATTGATGTATGCTGTTTCTCCGAAACACGCATACAGGATTCCAGTGTGGTCATTCACTTGACCTCACCTCGGCAAAACGGAGAGCCAACGAGATACACCCTCCGTTTATCTGGTGACCCGATGGCCAGTTCTCGTGGACTGGCAGGTGTAGGCATAGCACTAAGCATGAGGGCCGAACAAGCACTGCTAGAGTGGATCCCCGTCAACAGTCGTTTATGTGCTGTTCAGCTACGTAAGAACTAGGAAGGATAGGGACACACGTCGTTGCCTTGTCGTCGTTTCTGCCTATACTCCCATTGTCTGCAGCTCAGATGAAGTGAAAGATGAATTTTACAGAAAGCTGTCCGAACTTCTTCAGAAAGCTAAACGTCCAGACATAGTACTCGTAGGGGGTGACTTTAATGCTCAGATAGGTAGTTTAAACTAAACAGAAATGCATTTAGGTGGATATTTTAGTATTTCGACACAGCGAACAGATAATGGTGATCGTCTGCTGCAACTATGCTCAGACAATCGTTTATTTTTAGCAAACAAATTTTAAGCATAAGGAGAGACATCGTCTAACATGGCGACCCCCCACACCAAACCAACGATGGACTCAAATAGACCATATTGCCATCAGTCATCGTTGGAGAGGGTCGGTAGAAGATTGTTGCTCATTCTGGAATACCTGCTTGGACTCCGACCACGCCCTAATACGGGCACGCATCTGCTTGCGCTTCACTGGACGCAAAAAGCTATGGTAAAAAGACCCATTAGAACTGAGTTGAGTAACCAGAAAACAAAAAGTAGGTTCCAGGAACAACTGAGGTCACAATTAGGCTATTTCGAAAACGAGGCTGACCCAGATGTTGCTTGGAAAGATATACAAACAGCTGTGGAAACAGCAGTGACATCTATTAGTGATTTAAACCACAGGGTTACAAAGAACCAATGGATTTCATCAAGGTCTATTGCACTGATGGATTCTCGTAAACTCATCTCATCAGGCTCTGAACACGATGAAGAGCGTAAACAAATCAGATCTAGGTTAAGAAAAAGTCTAAGAAACGACCGTGAGCAGTGGTGGGCAACGAAAGCAAAAGAAATGGAAAAGGCGGTGGCTATAGGAAACACAAGACAGCTATACAGACTAATAAAAGAAACTGGAATAATTAAGTCAAATGTAAGTGAGACTATATCGGAAAAAGATTACACTCTCATCTGCTCCCAGTCCAGACGTTTAGAACGATGGGCGGAACATTTTAGAGAACAGTTCAACTGGCCTTCAGCTACTCTACAACTACCCTCCATTCCCAGACAATGTGAATGGAACATTGAAGTAGGTCCCCCAACTCTTGCTGAAGTTGAGAAGGCTATAGTTAATCTGGAACGAGGAAGGGCAGCTGGTCCAGATGGATTGGCTCCAGAGGTCTTTAAGGATGGTGGTCCAATTTTAGCGATTAGGTTGACTAATATTTTAGCTAAGATCTGGGAGTCAGACGTTATCCCATCTGACTGGTCGCAATCACTTATCGTCCCAATATATAAGAAAGGGTCAAAATCATCCTGTGACAACCACAGAGGGATTAGTTTAACGAATATAGTATCTAAAATACTAGCCTCGATAATTATCAAACGCCTAACTAAGACTCGTGAACTGCAAACACGAGAGAACCAAGCTAGCTCCAGACCTGGTCGTGGCTGCATCGACCACATATTCACCATTCGTCAGGTTCTAGAACATAAGCATACTTACCGAAGTCCGACAATGGTGGTCTTTCTTGACTTAAAAGCAGCATTTGACTCCGTAGACCGCGAGATACTGTGGCAGCGTCTGTCATTGAAAGGCGTACCCCAGAAGTACATAAACCGTATAAAGGTTCTTTACTCGAACACTACAAGTCGAGTGAGAGCTTATGGCGAACTGTCGTCTACTTTTGCAACCTCAAGTGGTGTCCGTCAAGGCTGTCCACTTTCTCCATTTTTCTTTAATTTCATCATAGACCTATTGATGGAAATAACATTCTTGTCGAATGAATTCTCGGGTATTGATCTCCTTCCAGGAGGTCCACTCATCGACTTAGAATACGCGGATGACATAGTCCTGTTTGGTGAAGACGCTGACAAAATGCAGTGTTTTGGTAGAACTGAGCAACAATGTCAGAATGTTTGGAATGCGCTTCTCTGCCTCTGAATGCAAGTTGTTGCTTCAGGACTGGTCTGCGTTAACACCAGAACTAAGGATAGGGAGTGAAGTAGTCGAACGCGTCGACAACTTCACTTATCTTGGAAGTCTGATCAGCCCTAATATGCTGGTATCAGACGAAATCTCAGCACGGATTCGAAAAGCTCGTTTGGCTTTTGCCAACTTACGTCACCTTTGGCGAAGGCGAGATATCCGTCTATCAATAAAAGGACGAGTATACTGCGCGGCAGTCCGTTCTGTTTTACTCTACGGCAGCGAAACATGGCCTTTAAGAGTAGAAGACACTCGTAAGCTACTAGTATTTGACCACAGATGCCTTAGAAATATTGCTCACATCTGCTGGGATCACCGGGTAAGTAATAGTGAGGTTCGACGCAGGGTATTAGGGAATGATGGTAAATCAGTTGATGAGGTTGTGAATCTTCATCGACTGAGATGGTTGGGCTACGTGTTACGTATGCCTGAACACCGATTACCACGACGCGCAATGCTAACCGGTGTTGGAGATGGTTGGAAGATAATTAGGGGTGGTCAAACCAAAACGTGGCATCAGTGCTTGAAGACACTAACTTCTAGTCTGAGCCATATTGGTAGATGCAGACTACTTGGTTGGGGTCCGCGTGACATTCGTAACCAATGATTGGAGACTCTTGGTGACGTGGCTGAGAATCGATCACAATGGCGTCATTGTATACACTCCCTGTCTTCCCTTAAACTAAGAGATTAAAATCACTTCATACCTTTCTTTCTACGAACTAATCCTTTCTTCCTATACTATATCCTTATATGCAATCTTTCTCCTATATATTACCACCTTTGACCTAACCACTCCTATGAGTCTGGTGTTCATCTTGCTGTGCTAATGATGTATGGCAACCTGGACCGATGCACATATGTGCCTGGTCCTATGTTGTAGCTGACTGACTGACAACATAATAATCTACTCAACATTACATTAACAAATACTCAATATGTATACTGGAAAGTTTATTAATAAACAATTCAATTGTTATGATATCCCAACCAAGGTAATTTTACCCATTTTACCATTAAGTGTAGTTTACTCTTGGATGGTGAGACAATATTTACCTGACAATTCTAGACAGATGAAACCAAGTATCAAAATTTTTAAACTATTAAATACATAAAACAACTAATATACATAAATATAACCTTTGAGATTTTTAACACTTCTTGGATGAATTCAAATCGTTTCTCCTTGGACACATCATCACGTCGAAATTGTTCCCATATCGGCAGTAGTTTAATTACTACTTCAGAGTGTTTCTTTGACTTTAACCTTAATAGGCGGCGCTCTTTCTTAGCCAAGAATGCTAAAAACAAAACGAGGATGAATACCATTTAAACACACAAAAAGGGGAAAAACAGACAAACTTGTTCATCATTTTTCAGGAACGTTGATGAGACTTTACCTTTTGGAGCCTGAAAATAAATTGATAAACCTTGTGTAAATTTTGAATACCGCAATTTTTCTGCCAAGTGTATGTTTTACTTGCTTTGCTTTGTGTACCTGAAACAGGAAATAATCATACTAGTCTACAGCTGTAGGTTTTTTATAAATAAATACGATACTTAACTAAGTATACGATCAGAATTACATCCATGATATAAAGTTTTATTCATGTAAGACTGAGGCAACAATCAAAAGTGGCATCTAGGACTTTGTAGTTGTGCAGTTCGGGTTCAAAAAGTGGTGTATATGGAACGAAATGGGCATAAATATTTAAAAATATTTGAGCCTATCTAATTAAGTTTGCCTGAAAGTTCATAATCGTACAATCTTTATGTGGATGAATAGGAGACTGGAGCTTAAAAACATTGGCACATTTTGAACACAGGATATTAGAATTTTATAACGTTACTGATCGGAGATTTCCTGTAAAGTGCTGAAATCCAAATAGGCACACACACATTAGCGATACTTTCTAACTAAAGAGGAAAGTTGAACTTCAATGGAACCCCGAAAGATCAAAAAACACTAATAATGAATATATTCAAGTAGGATCTTTTTAAACACATAATGGCCTATCAAAAGTAGACTTGAAACGATAGATCCCTTTGAGATGACCAGTTATTTTTTATATCGAGAACACACTACAATTAAACGGCAAGACTATAATTTATGGACGAACCAATCAGATATAAGATAACGAGTCACGAATTTGGGCGCAGCATTCACCCATACATTTGGTTAAATAGAGTTTTGGCATTATATCTGATGTCAGTTCATGATGAAAACCCTAAATCTAATTTTCAGCCCTAACCATCAACTGTAAATGGGAATTCTAACTTCTTTATAACCCTCATTTAGTCCTAATTAATTGTTCACTCTCAAGGCCACTTCAGCGTCGCTCGAAAGTCGACCATAAATTATGGTCTCACCGTGTGTTCTACTAACTAACGAAAAGGGTTGTACAGAATCAATCGTGAAATAAAAACAAACTTACTTTGGAAACACCACCTTCAACAGGCTTTGTTACTTCCTGTGTTTCATTAAGTCTAACCGTCTGAATTGCTGAAATATTGTTAAGATTCACTCACCTTTTTTGGAATACCATCAGGTTGGGTCTAAAATAATAAGCTAATATTATACTTTTGCCTTACTTTAGCATGTCGCTTGCTTGATTTTACTTTAGAAACTTGGTTTACTTTCCTCTTGACGTTGCTCTGTAACAGAAATAAAAAGACTTTACGTCGTGTACCTTGACTGACATTGGTTTCAATACACCGGATAAGTCCATTTGTCGCGAGAGTGAATATAACGAGGTAGAACCAGCAGTCCAAAGCCCTCAACTAGTCAAGGTCATAGCAATCCAAGCGCCAATCTTTATTAAACAGAACTAAGCAATAATGTTCCTGGTTGCGAAGAGATATATTTCTTAGCGTATTCATTCCGAATCAAGAAACCTAAAATCAATTCAACCTAGAATGTGATCCTATTTTTCTCATTGATTATTCATAGACTGGAATGCCCTTCGCGAATAAACGGTATCAAACCCACAAATAAAACATTTCCATTGTAAAATGAGTATCTACTTCAAATTATGTTGCAGAGATTAACATTATTCTACGAACTATCTACCCTTACTATTGAAGATCGAATTTTAGGTGGGGTGATAGAGATGCATCAGCTGGAATAATCTCCCCAGTCCCTAAAGGACTGTAGGGCCAACTAAGCAACACAAAACCCCATCTAAACTATTTTCAAAGCCGAACACATTCCTACCATGGGAAGCTGAGTACTAGATGTTGTACGATTGACCGGTCAACATGGAGTTGGTTGATCGACAACTAGGATATAGCCTTCATATATTCGCTCTTTAATCTATCCTGTTGAACATGTGGAATTCTAATAGAGAACATAAATAAGAACTTTCGTCTAAATTTAAACGAATAGTTTCACAATATTTGGGCGCCGAGTTAATGTGAGACATTAAAAAGAAGAATATATTTGTAAAATCTCAGCGAATGAATTTTAAGTAAATCCAACGTTTCGCCAGGCAATCTGGTCCAAGCTTTTTTCAAAGAAAATATAATCAAACAACAAAATATTCGATAATTTTGTTGTTTGATTAAATTTTATTTCAAAGAGCTTGGACCAGATTGCCTGGCGAAACGTTGGATTTACTTAAAATTCATTCGCTGAGATTTTACAAATATATTCTCCTTTTTAATGTCTGATAGAGAACCTTCATCCACCCACCAAGTGTGCGGTGAAAGCAGGACGGCCATCATATTGGGGGTGGTAGAACAGGGAGTTAATGAATGATGTGATTTACATTCAGTAACTTAAAAGCCATATACTCGAAATAAACCCCAGAGGCTTGCCATCTCCCAAACGGATAGTTATGCCGCCGATTCAGAACAGGCTTATTTAGGATTCCGCCGCAGATCTAATTTAGAGTGCTCATTACAAACTAACACCAATTAAAATTCATGAATACTTCGTCGCCATATAGATTGTAGCGTTCGAATCAGAATTGACGGTTTATATTTAGGATTTAGGAACAATCACATTTAATCTATGACAATAAATGCAGATTTTCGTTATCATTTTAAAAGTTTTCAACACTATATCAACGAATTTGTACAGTTCGCTTTAATTGAACTAGGGCAAAAGTCATTCATTTACCAGTTTCGCATGAAAAAAACACCTAACAGTCAAACCAGCCAACATCAAATTCATAATCTTCAGTACGAGTGTCAAGATAGTTAGTTCTATTGTAAGAAACTGAAACTTCAAGAACTACTGCAACTACCATAAAAAAGCACACATATTAATAAACACTTGTCTACGCAATATACTCAATGTCTATTGACCGGATACCATCAGCAACAGCCTACTGTGGGAGAGAGCAAACCAACTTCCAGTTGAGGAGGAAATAAGGAAAAAACGTTGGAAGTGGGTAGAACATACATTACAAATGTCATCAAACTATCACGATGCTATATTTATCCGTTTTTTATTCGATTGCCAGCTTTGACACCATTGAAATCGCCCCGTTGTTAGTTTTGTACGCTGTACACAGCCCCTTCAAGAACTGACCCTCAGTAGTCTTCCTAGTAGATAAGCATGGTTGTTCGTTTTCTATCCTTGTTCAGAAGTACCATGAACTATCTTAGAACGGTTTATAGACTAGTGTCCGTACTGCAACCTAATTGAAGGGACTAGACCTGCACTAAACAGAACTTGACAGTTGTGACAAAGATCATCACTCAGGGATCAGTCATTCCTAAGGGAGAAGCTAATATTCCTATGAGCCTTTACCTTTAAGGAATGTGCATGACACAGACACGATCTGTGCCGTCATATTTAAATGCTTGGGAGGTGCTTCTCAGGAGGCAAATAAAACTTCCGCCTTGCCAGTTGTAATTACTTAATATTGTGCATCGTGATTCAGAGTGGTCTCGGAAATCTCTTGAGAAAGATATGGTCCGGAGGCCGACCCTCGCTAATAGGTCTTCCAGACTGTGTACGTAGGATGACATGATATATTCTTACCAATCTAAAGAAGGATCATTACCTTATCATGACATTGAACAGAATTATAAATTCTCAGTTGATATTCAAGTCTGGATTAGGAAAATAAATAGCTCAGATCTTCTCGTGTTGCCTATGCCTAAATAGTTTCAGGCTTGGGAGTGGATAATACCCCCTATGATGAATAAAGTGGTAACATAGGAAAAAAGCACTTCTTATGCCTTATAGTTTTGCCGCCTTTATTTTTTTAAACTTTAGGTACCTGTACCTTACGGAAATAAACAGGGGTAAAGCAGGAGCCGATCAAAACCTTCACTTATTAATGTAGACTGAGATAACTGGACATCAATTTGATAAGAAAGCTTTGGTAACTTACCATGCTCTTTCGATCCTACGTGTAATCGAATTGTGGTAACTCGCTATATACTTTTAGCCTAACTATTAGATTATAACTGAACTTACTTCCGCTCAAAGGATCCAAAAACAAATAGATAGTTAGATGTAAATGATCTATTGCAGAGTCCAGGAATACAGAGTAAGAGAAGAGAATACGGAGAGAATTTGTGAAGGTAGGTTTGAAAACACATGTGAGCCGTTTATAATTGACTGACTTTATATACAGCCAATAAGGGAAAGAATACGAAGTTTCATCAAAAACTCACACACACATGAGAAAATGATTAACCGATTAAATGTTTGTTTGTTTGACACGCTTCATGTGTGCCACCGTATGATAAGCGAAAAAGCTTGGTACAGAGACGTTCATTCTTTCGGCTCGTTATTTTGGGCATAGAATTACTTAACCTTTAACCCTATTTTGATGACCTAGAGTAGTAGAACCTGTGTTTGCTCACTTTTCTGGTGAGAACAGCATCCATGGTGAGCTTCGCTCTGTATTAAATCTCACTAATTGGTATAGGCTTATGCATCGATAAATAAATCCTCAAAGTAAAGAGTATTTTAGGCCTTCGACATTACTGATGACCGCACTGGTTTCAATAAACACACGCTATCTGAAGGCGCTCGGTCACGTTACAAGGGGCTAGCCGCTTGTATGCAGTACTCAAGTTTAGGCAACTGCCAGGTTTAAGATAGTTCGGACGATTTCTTCAGGTCATTTCGGAGTTCTATGCTATCACCCTCACTTCGTATCGCTCTCCATATTTTGACATCGTCGGCATACCAATCCTTTTGTGAAGAGGCTGCAAAGTGTGGAGCTAACTCTTGAGAGTGACAGCGGCGGAAAATTTTAATGACGTAATTAAAGGGAGAACAGAAGTTTATTTTATTTTCAGTGGTACTGAGGTGGACTACAATTGGTTTTCGAAAACCATTCATTTCATTATCAATTAGTTTTTATTTCTTTTTGGTTCCTAATGGATGGGAACAAGAATTTCACTTTTCCATAACTTAAAGAATTAAACGCCTACACATATCACGAGGAACTAATAATTAGTTGTTTTTTTCTTGACAATGATTGTACTTTAATATTTTGCTTATTGTGGCAGTTTTGGAGTAGTGCGTTACTGCGTTGTACCTATCGTTCCTAGGACGTAATTGTGAGTGAAACATCCCTACTTTGTTTATCATCCCCGTAAGTGTTACGGCATTTTAGTCTTCCAATGTTTTTTATTCGTCGCACTTCAAACAAGTTTTTAGTGAATTTAAATCCCTTGAAAACCAGTTCTAGAAGTCACTTTAGGGTCATGAATGCGAACCATGATGGTTCTTTTTTTTAAAAATAAAGTTTGGTAAAACGCAATATCATTTAGCAGTACCTCTATGGTTAATGCTAGCCCTAAGCCTGGGTTAGGAGAGGGAGGGAATGAACGTGAGATTAACAACTTCATCTCGTAAAGAAAGGACTCCGCTGTAAAAACCCGGATCAGAGTAAATATGAGAATTATTATTTATTTTTCAAATAATGTGCCTTATTATTTTTTATCTCAATATCAAATTATCATTCTAAGTAACGCGGAATACTTATTTAAATATTTCATTTCCATATTAAAAATAACAAACTGATTTTAGCTAGACTACTACAGGAAACCAGATGATAGCACAAGACACCTTCCTCGTCCTAAGCAATATACATCCAGGACACCACCAAAGGGGATCAGACCCAAAAGGTTTGGTCTCACAAGGAGACTCCTAACCTCTAGATTATTGAGCCAATATCTGGCAGTATATATGCTCAACCTTAAACAATTCCCTTTACTGTGCGATTATTTTTCATAGCGTGAGGTAATTATCTGTCTTACATCCGGCATAGACGAAAACCACTAATCACAGCTTCTCACCAGAACTTTAGAAATCGCGTGCTGAGGCTAGTTACTAGTGAGCATATGATTTAGAGTCATAGAGAGAAGCTGTGACTAATGGAGATCAAACTTGTTGGATGTGCAACAGTTATACACCATGGGCGGTGAAAGATAGTCACGTAATATTATGAATTGATGAGTGCAAGAAATGCTCAATGGTTTGGGGTCTAGGTGCTAACCGCGAAACCAAAAGACCTAGGGCCATAAATGCACACTGATTATGAGTTCATTACTAGTTAGGAAAAGCTATCCAGTGATTTCCGGTTTTCAATGGATGTGAAGATCATCTACGAAGTTAAAAGAACTGTCTCAAAGAGAACTCAATCTAGAGAATTGCTTATGTTAGAAGCTTTATTCAGCTCACCACTTCAAGTTTGTTTTGTGTGTTCCAGTAATGCAAGGTCAACTCCTTATTTTGTAATCGTCTTAGGACGCCTTT